CGCTGCTTTGCAGGTGTGGCACGCTATGCTGATTTACTTAGTTAAGAGGTATCGCCTGTTTGGAATAAGGTATCTCCGTGAAGAGGATTGGTAAATTATAATGAAAGAGGCACTGGAGAAAGGTGTTCACATTAATATTTACTGTTGTCAATGCTGGTAACAGCTGATCTTCCCTCAGGGATGCTCGACACCTGCTACAAGCAGAGCAGATACTTGGGAGTTGTCAGCCATCCCAACTAGGGCATGATCCATTCTGTAGGCACGGAGAAAAATCCCGCGATCTTGCCTTTCACCGTGGCACCACTGAGATTTCTTCCACGCTACAAATAATTTTCCCTACTTTTCCCGTAGTGGGACAGGTTTCGCTTACACCTTTCTTCCAGTATAACTGGAGGCAGGTTGATGTCCCTGAAGTTGCTGGCGGGTTCTCCTGCACCTCATGGTCAGGCCTGCGGCAGGGCACATCCCTGCTTGATAGGTGCTTCTGCCAGAGAAGCGACCCAGCCTGCGCTTGGGGGGAAGGAGTATGCCTGTGCTGGGAGCGCAGTTGTTTCCAGACCGCCTGCCAGGCAGCTGACTGATAGTAAAGTTTCCTGCATCTTCGGGAAAAGCTGGGGAAAACCCTTTTTGGCCCAGATCAGCTCGGTGCTGCTGCTCCTCCTGAGACAACGTGCTTGCTTTCTGCCACTTTCTGCTCTGTTCCCAGCTGTGCACGCGTGACGGCTCCCGCCGTTGCCGGTTTTACGGGAGACCCGAGCTCTGTGGGAGAAGGGCTCCTCGCTTCTTGGACAGGTACCCAGTGCAGGTGTCCCGAGCAGAGACTGCCATCTTGTGAACTGCACCAGTACGTCCCTTCTCCACCATTGCTCCTGGTTATCAGGTGCACCAGTTTACTTGTTCAAAGCCCCGTCATGCTTTTATCAATCTCCCGAGACCAGATTTTAAAGGGCTGGGAGGACTTCTGAAGTGTGCTACTGCCAAAATTTTAAGAACAACTGAAGTTTGAACCCATAAAAACATTTTTCTAGTGCCTTATGCTCGTGAATGTTGTGCAGTGGATGTAGGTGGGGTGGGACAGAGCAAGGAGCAACCTCAGTAGCGTGGTTTCCCATCCACTACAGCCATCGCCCTCTCCCCTCGCAGGGTCTCGGCAAGCAGACGCCAACAGATCATCTCTGCAGCGCAGGGGGATTAAAAAATCCCTTTGAGATCTGGGGTTGTAGAAATGTTAAACTGTAAAACCTTGCACCGGGTGGTCTGCCTTGGAGAGGAGCAGTGGTCTCGCCTCTGCCGGTTTCGGATTCAAAGGGGTTTAGGAGAGACAAAGCTGCTCTGATTGCTAGACCGCGTGGCGGAGGACACAGACAGTTGTTCCCAAGCGCACAAGTTGGGGTGAGTTTGCTGCTCTCCGCTGAGGCCATGTTGTTATGTATGCTGTATTTATATCGTGCTTTATTTCATTTAATGTATTGGTTGGCTTCAATGTTGCTAGGTTTGTATATTAATAAAGAGGCGTTTTAACTACTCCCGAATTTGATGATTTGTTATGCAAGAGCCTTGTGTGTCTTTCAGGATCCAGACCCCGTGGTCATCTGGATGGATCCTGCAGGGATGCCGGGGCTGTTGCAGGGTCCAGCCTTTGGCGCTGGGAGCTGGAGCACGCCCTGGCTCTGCTGGGTCACCCCAGGGAAAGTCGCTTCCCCTGCCTGCGCCTCCTTTCAGAATTACATCCTCCAAGAGTTTGTCTGTCTCGTTCCCTGCGCCCGTGCAGGGGCTCAGGGCCATGGGCCGTGTGGGACCCGAGGATGGTCAGGAGGGCTGTATCAGACACGGACGCGGGGTCTGGGTGAGCAGAGCCATCACCTAACGGCAGGCCCTGGCCGGGGGGGCTGTGTCAGGGCTCTGCTGCTGGGCACCCAGGCCAGCGCGGGGCCGCGCTCAGCTCCTGCTCCAGTGGACGGGTGTCAATCGCAGCTGGCCCAGCTGTAGCCCAATGGAGAGCAGAGGAAACGGAGGAGGAGAGGGAGAGGATCAGGATCCTCCCTGGCCCCACAAACCCTCCCGCTCCCTTTCCTGACCCCACCGACACCTGGGCTTGGGTGCAGGCGCAGGCATAGCGGGCAGGGCTACCTGAAGGAAAACACAGAGCAGATCCGATGCATGGTTTTTATTGACTTTTTTTTTTAAAAAAAAAAGTTGTTTTAAGACAGTTGTGTGCAGAAGTACCCATGTACACAGAGGCTACGGGCGAAGCTACCCGCCTGCTCCTAGCCCTAGGTCAGAGCACTGGCCTCTCCCTCTCCCGGCGGGGCGGGAGGCGATGGGTGCTCCATCAGGCACCGCGTGATGAAGACTACCTCTGCCGGGTGGGCAAGCCTGGGCACCTCCTCCCTGCCTGTCCCCTGCCCGTAGCCTCTGCCTACATCTCCTCTATGTACAGTACAGTGGTGCTCGTCGGCGCCGCGACCGCGGCCCCCTTAAAAATAATAATAATAATAGTAATAATAATAATTAAAAAAAAAAGGCAGGGGGGAAGTTAGCCAAAAAAATACTGTCAGGGCAGCAAGGAGACGTGAGCGCGCCCTTTGCCGGATGCTGGCGCTGTGCTGCCGGTGGGTTTGGTACCGGGGTTTGGTACCTGGCGTCTCTGCTCGCCCCGTGATTGTCTGGCCTGGCCCTGCTCAGCTGGGACAGGAGCGGGTCCAGCCTCATCACGCTGGACTGGGCCTCCCCAGCCACCAGCGTGGTGGCCTGGCTGCATCCCTGTCTCCCCCAGCAGCACTTCCCAGCTGAGATCCAGCCCGGCGCCAGGAGGGAAGCAGGTGCGACTGCCAGATAAATCGGCCGAGCCCCTACCGCCGGTGCGGGAGCAGGCACAGCCCGGCATAGCCGACAGGAGATAGTCAAGGCACTCGTTGTTGTTCATGGTTTTTTGTTTGTTTTTTAAATTGTCTTCCCCTAAGAAAAAACCAACCTAGGAAGGTGGAGACCAGGGTTCCCTATAACCTGCCTCCGTGTCCCAGGGAGAGGAGCGGGGTTCAGGGCTGGCCCTGGCAGTCGCGGGTGGGTGGGCTGTTCTCACCGGGGCGGCACTGCTTCTACCAGAACGTGCCACAAAACGTGGTTTTAAAGCCCTGCGGACAGAAAAGACGAAGGTCCCAGCGCAGGGGGATGTTCAGTGCCTGCTCCAGGCAACCTGAACCCTCACGTTTCACGATTGCAGAGATAAACCTCACACAAAAAAAAAAAAAAAAAAAAAAAAAAAAAAAAAAAAAAAAAAAACCAAAAAAAAAACAAAAAAAAAAAAAAAAAAAAAAAGAGAAGAAAACCCTGAAAAACAACCAAACTGAAGCAGAGAAACAGGTAAGAGGCTGCTACAGAAAAGCCAGATACAAAAGGGTAAAAAAAACCCCAAACTCAAAGCGCCAAAAAACCCTATGGTGATTGTTCCTCAAATAACTATTGCAACCAGGTGGTGCAGGCAGGGCTTCCCCGCACTGGGCTCCAGCCCCACAGCCCCTGCCCCAGTCTCACACCATGGGGCTTTGCCATCGGGCTGGGCCCCCGCCGCCATCGCTGGCTGTGCAGACGGAGGGCCCCTCTCTGGGGGACCTTTTCCGTGATTGCCTTTTTCTTGAGCTTTCCAGCATCTCCTAAAAAAAAAAAACCCACCCGCCTGATTGACCCGAAGAAAGTGGTTTTAATTACACCTCTGGGGAGGCAGTTTCCTTCCCCATCCTGTGCCCGGGGCAGCCTGTCCAGCCCGAAAAGCCCCGGGTATCCCGAGGGCACCGGCTGTACCAGACTGATGTAAACCAAGCCCCACCCTCACAAACGGAGCAAAGACTTTGGGATTTCAGCTTCTCACCAGAGCTGTCTGTTTATAGCAACACAAAAGGCAAAGCACGGTTCATTCACCCACTAAAGCTATCTCTAATCTGTTTTTTCCCAGCCCAAAAGCGAAGGGAAATCTCATCTCCTTCCCTCCGGTGGGGCCGGACCTGCTGCCGCATCCCGCATCCCTTGAGGATCCTGCGAGGGAGCCCGGCTGGAGGGACCAGGGACCCGGGGGGGGGCCCGGGTGGGGGGGCCCTGCCTGCCGCTCCTGCGGGTTTCTTAGCTGCCTTTTGCCCAGTCACCCCCGAAATCTGTCATACCCTTCCTCAATCTTCGGGTAGCGGAGTGGGGATGCCCGGCCCCCAAGCCAGGGTTCCTCTCCATCTCCCAGCCTGGCTGTGCCGGCAGGCGCCCGCCCCCCGCGGCGG